ATCGAATACGAATGGCACCTTTGGCGACTGTAACCTCGTCATAGGTGCAGCAATCCCGGAGTATCCGGTGATGAATCGCTGATAGTAGCCCGCCAACCCCATGAATGAACGAACGTCCGTGGTGTTGGTGGGCTCGGGCCATACTCATAGGGCCTCGATCTTGTCCGCAAGCGGACGGATGCCTTGCGGCGTCACATAGTGTCCCAAGTACTCCAGCTCTTGCTGTGCGAACTCTCACTTGTCGCGGTTGGCTTTGTACTTGGCCTTTCATAGCCGCTCCAAAACGGTGCGCAGGTGTTCCACATGCTCGTCCAGACTCTGACTGTAAATCAAAATGTCGTCGAGGTAGATAAGTACGAAACGATCCAGCATGTGTCGGAACTCCGTCGTCATAGCCGCTTGGAAAGTGGCTGGGGCAATGTAAGGCCAAACGGCATGACCAGCCATTCGAAATGCCCATACCGTGTCTTGAACGCGGTCCTGTAGCGATCCTCCTGCCGGATCTCGAGTTGGTGGTACCCTGACTTGAGATCCAGCTTAGAGAAGAACTGGGCGCCGCCCAATCGCTMGAGAAGGTCGTCGATGCGTGGGAGAGTGTCGGCGTTCCTAATCGTCTGCGCATTGAGCTTGCGATAATCGATGCACAACCGCAGGTCCTTGTTCTTCTTCTAGACGAAGAGAACAGGAGCACCGTATGGCGATGAGCTAGGCCGAATCCAGCCTTTCTCTAGAAGGTCGTCGAGTTGTGGCCGAAGCACACTTAACTCTTCCTCGCTCATTCGGTAGATGCAACCGCGCGTAGGTACGGCCCCGTCCTCGAGGATGATCTCGTGGCGGATGGGTCGATCCGGTACTACTCCGTGCGGGCCTTCGAACACGTCGCTGTAAGCGTTGAGAAGCTCGGTGATGCGTGGATCCGAAGGTGAGTCCGTCGATGAAGCGTCATGTGGCGGGAGGGCGTGGAGGAAACACACCCCCATCTCCTCGATGTCGTCTCTGGTGATGGAAGCTCGCATGCTTGCGCCGGATACCACGTGGCAGCTGGTCGAAGGATGAGGAAGAGGCACCGTGCATGTAACTAATACTCCGTTCCGATCACAAACGTGAACGGTGCGGTTGAAGAAGTTCACCGGGTGATCCTTGCTTCACAGCCATGACATGCCCAAGATCATGTCGAATTTGGTGTCCAGAATGTCAAAGGACACCGCCTCACTTGCGTGAGGGGCAAAGTACACTGGGACGACGTCAATGCACCGGTCGATTGACTTGTGCGTGTGACCGTCCGCCAATGTGACTTGCGTAGGCTGGGGCTTCCTCCGGACGCGTGGGCCAAGGCCGGCGCGCACCATGAAGTCCTGGCTGATGTAGTTGCGAGATGCTCCGCAATCGATCAAGGCACTGCAAGTCGCCTCTCCGATGTGAATGCATACGTATAGCAATGGTGCGTCGATATCGTCGTACCGTTGCGTCTTGAACTCGCGGTGGATCTTCGCGATGTAAACGTGAAAGTCGACAACCTCTGCTTCGGCGTCCATCAACGGAGCTGGTACTGCAGTGTGCAAGTAGTCCCGCAGTTGTGCCATGAGCACATTGCAATGCGGTTTCGACAATGGTCCGGTCGAGGGAACGGGCATCCACTGGAAGTCCGTGAATGTCAACGGGTCGAGCTCTTCAAGTCTTGACCATGACGTCGAATCCCCGGCGATAGATTGCGGCGAAGCTGCCGAATCGGTTG